GTTCAGTGCTGCCACAGTAACAAGGGACGCTGTACCTTATTGCAGGTCATGGACACTGAGCTACCAGGCGACGTTCTGAGTAGCTGGAGTAATAGTGCGGAAAATTCGTTGAGGCTCTATGTACGTTTTAGTAAATAATGGTTCAATGAGGTGTTGTTTTTTTCGTTGAGAAAGGGAGGTTAAAAAGGCGAGAATCTCGAAGAGCCTCAGAAAGACTATCTCAGGTGGGGGAGAGGGAGGGCAGTAAAAAAGGCATTTCACCTTCAAATTAGGAAGAAATTAATCGCACTTCGAATCGAACAGAGTGTTCCCAACCAAATTGAAGAACATATTCCCGTCTGTCAGAAAAACTTGATACTGCTTCCTACATCCACGACATCAGAACAATTTGCCATGAGACATGGTGCTCGATTCAAACTCAACGAGGTCCTCGATGGAACGTTACCCCTTGCAGTCTTAGCGAAACGCAGGTCAGAAGGGGTCTTGTGGTCAGAGCTGCAGTCTCGGGGAAACTGTCCATCACTGAATCGATCGAAAAAATAAGGTAACTGCACCAGCCTGAAGCATTTAAGGCGGGCCTCCTGAGCTCGACGGCGGTGGCAGATGGCATCATTTTCTGGAGATGATGCGAGAGTGAGGTGGGAGTCTTCCTGCTCCTCATGGGGTGGCATTCAAGGATTACTTGTTGATGTACGCCATAGGCAACATATATGTATACTCGATATCGGAGTGTTGGTAGGTGTGTCACGGAAGTGACGTGTGCACTTGATAGAAGCTATGTGGATAAGCTGCTTCCAACATACATCGCTGGATATCAGCAAAGCATGCTGGCAACAGCTTATCCACGCAACTTCTATCAAGTGCACGTCACTTCCGGTGACACGCCTACCCCAACTTTCGGATATCGACTGTACCTAGTTAAGGCCAAAAGTTTTTCCTAGAGCAGCAACCTTATAAGAGGTCGTGTAAAACAATTCATCAGCTCACATTTGCTCCCATTAGTACCTTTGTAAAGTACTAGAGCCACTGCCGCGCGTATCTAAGCAGTGAAAACGGAACATCTATAACCTCATGACCGACTATCCTACCAACAATATAAATTGTTTTACACGACCTCTTCTAAGGTTGCTGCTCTAGAAAAAATTTTTGGCCTTAACTACGTACAGTCGATATCCGAAAGTTGGGGTAGGCGTGTCACCGGAAGTGACGTGCACTTGATAGAAGTTGCGTGGATAAGCTGTTGCCAGCATGCTTTGCTGATATCCAGCGATGTATGTTGGAAGCAGCTTATCCACATAGCTTCTATCAAGTGCACGTCACTTCCGGTGACACGCCTACCCCAACTCTCGGATATCGACTGTATCTTTTTCGCCTCCCCTGTATGTGATAGGAGTTGCTGTCAGCTAAACTGGTCACCTCACCCTTTCCTGCTAAAGTAAGTCAGCGGACGATTTCTTCGTAGTTAGTCAGCGTAAAGTGAAAGTCTCCACGCGAGCGATATCAGTCTACTTAATGATCTGTAAGTATTGATTGTTCAATTAAGTTAACTGTAATGACTTACCGCGAACCTTCCGCTGTACCCTTGTTTCAAAAGGCATGGCTTGGTCTTATTGTGGTTGTTTGATAGGCTTTCGAATTTACCACTTTCTATCCATTCCTCTTTTTAATGGAGCTGTGATTGATAAATGCATAGCGGTGAAGGTCTAGTTTTTCTTCTTAAATCATACCGTTGAGAAGTATCACCGTATTGTCGAATTTTTCAGAGTAGGAATTCCCCAGAAAACCTAGTTGCTGATACAATACCGCTCGCCAGTATGGAAGACTTTCGCTTTGAAGCGGGCCGCGATCAGGTAGTTTTTGATCACGTTACCCCAAATTTCCTATATATTCTTTTAAGATCCACAACTGTGCTAAGTGTTATGTCCGTTTAGCTGTTGCAAAAATGAGCTTGTTGGCTACTTTCCTCACTAAAGCCAACAGCATTCCGAAAACTCTGTACAGTCTTCTTTCTTAAGTCTGTTCATCGCATTGTAGGTGCAGGAGGTCATAGAAAAAGCTCGTTAATCTGAAGGATATCCTGATGTGTGGCTGTTCCTGAGAGCGACATACCGTAGTGCTGGTCGAATCAGTTTCTTTGTATTCGTTAGGATTCATGGAATGTTTG